CCAGTGCATATATGGTGTTAGCGAAGAATGCTGAAAGTACCGTGGACCGCTAAAAGAACTAACAGGTCTGCCCTGGAGGAAGTGCAGCCAGAATGCTCCTTGGAGGTGAGAATGGCCAGACTTCGTCTCACATACTTTGGTCATATTGTCAGAAGGGACCATTCCCTGGAGAAGGATGTCATGCTTGGTAAGATGGAGGGTTGACCAAAGAGGGGAAGGCCCTCAACGAGGTAGACTGACATGGTGGCGGCAGCGATGGGCTCAAGTGTAGCAAGAATCGTGGAGCTGGCTCAGGACCAGGGGGTATTTCGTTCTGCTGTTCACAGGGTTGCTGAGTCAGAGACAACTCGATGGCACTTACAACAACAACAGTGAATATAAAAGTTATGTTTACATTATACTGTAGTCTGTTAAGTGTGCAACAGCATTATGAAAATGTTTGAAATACTGTGAGAATTATCAAAATGTGACATAGAGACATGAAGTGAGCACATACTGTTGGAAAAATGGCACTGATAGACTTGCTTGATGCAGGGTTGCCACAAACCTTCAATTTGTAAAAATTCAGTATCTGTGAAGCACAATATAACAGGGTATGCCTGTTATATTTTGGCCTAACAAGTACAGAGGTAACTGAAGTCTCTTACTGTTATTACTTCGTTTAGTTTTACTAGTTCTCCAAATACATATTTCTAATCACATAATATCCTAATCAGGTAAAGCAGAATACAGACACTACAAATTTTTATTACTTCAGTATGAAATTTTTAAGTACTAGTTTTTTGTTGTTGTTGTTTTGTTTTTTTACAAGCTAACAATACTGTACTGTTTCAATTAAATTAATGTTTATTACAAAAATATACACTTGTAACAAAAAAATGAGATGGCAAATCTAACGCTTTGCTTCCTACACTCTAATGACAAGTACTCATACTATCTACATCTGTGCAGTACAATATTGTGCCTACTGCCTACATGTGGATATTCAAATTTAATTAGAATTAAAAATGTTGTTTTCTCAGTTACGCCAGCTACATTTCAAGAGCTCAATAGCCATGTGAAGCCAGTGGCCACAATACTGTGAAGTTGTAGTGTAGTAAATAGTGTGGCTTTTCTACCCATAAGTCTGTAAACTCCGAGGTGGAATTTGCCATGAGCAACTGAGGAGCTCCTGATTGCTAAAGTTATCCACCTGGGGTATTTCTGTTGAGCAGTGGCACAAAGCAATGTTTCAGGAAGTTCACTCTCTCTCAGGTGCTTAGAATTCTGATGTTATGATTGGCTAGTGTGGCCACTCTGTCAGGCTCAAAAGGAGGCCTCCTAGAGGCAAAAGTTTCTCTGACTGCTGACTGAGAAGGACGTGCTGCTAAGAGAAACACACTCCTGAGAGACATGCGCTCCTGAGATACGTGCTGCTGGGGAAGAGACGCAAGAGACACATATTGCTGAGAAAGACACGTACTGCTGGGAGAGAGACTGAGCGTTTTCCCTGAACTTGAATTGTAGCCTGGTGCTTCCCTAATAAACCCCATAATCTGTGAGTTCTGTGTGGCCACTGCAGTGAATTATCAAACCCAGCAGAGAGGTGGTGGGTGCTGCAGGAGGAATAGTTGGTGTCAGGGTTGGTGAAAGGGCTGGAGGGAGGCAGCATGTCTGGCCTCACAGGATTGGGCCTTGGGCTACTGATGGTGATTCTGTCTTCCTCTTGTGGGGTTAGAGAAGGTCAGAAGATGCAGCCTCCCTACCTCTTTAGCAGAAGTGCACAACATTTCCAATCACATATTTCTCTTAAAAAATGTCTCTTCCTTTAGGGCATTTGTTGTCTAAAAAGATTTTAAAATATCTTAAAGATATTTTAAAAAACATTCCAATTCTCATTGGTTCAATGACAGATACATAGACCAATGGAATAGAATTGAGAACCCAGATATAGATCCATCGACCTATAGTCAGCTGATCTTTGACAAAGG